TTAGAGAAGCTTATGCTTACACGTTCTTCTTCTACAGACTGAAAAACAAAAATATGAAATTTGACTCTTTAAATATAGGGTTAATGCATTTTATACAAACAAACTTTTCACGTTTGTTTCAATGTATGTCATGTTTGCTTCCCTGATTCTATGTCAATCTCTGATTCTATGTCAATCTCTACTATGATACTTTGAAATTTTGTTTCTAATTTTGATGATTACAACATGATTTGCCCAAAATTGTGATTTAATAAATTTTGATACCAAACATCATTGGTTATCGTGTGTTCTTAATTTAAACATGCTTAATTAGCTTATTTTGTAGGGTAATGTATCGATTTTTTTTTCTCCGTTCAGTTTTAATTATTTGGTATTGCCCTAATTATCCAACAATCTTTCTTATCATTGATTTGTTTTTTTTTTGGTAAACCTTTGAGGTTCAATTAGGATTTTACTCAAAGAGGAACATAAGATGTTAAGATGTGAATGGGGTGTTGGTGATTTTAGTTTCATCATGTCATTTTATGTAATTAAAACTAATATGTGAGCTAAGGGGCTTCATAAATTGTACTCTAATATATGTACGGTTTTGTGTGGAGTGCACACATGTATACGATCGAATGAGAAGCCGGTTCAACGACAAGTCGGGGGTCCGGGGGCAGCGTCCCTTTGGTAGGATCTAGGGGCAGCGCCCCTAGCGGGGTCAAGGGGCAGAGATATACGAAACCCTAAATCATCATTAAAATTCGGATTTGCTGGCTTGCTTTCAAAAGTAACCCATAACGGCCAACCCTAAGATAAACTCTAATCTCGTTTATTATAGACAAAATTGCAAGAATGGTCCCTGTGGTATGTCCAAAAATGCTACTTTAGGCCAAACAGGTTTGGACTGACACCAATAGTCCAAAAGTTTTCATTTTGCTGCGGCTTTAGTCCAAAACAGTTTAAAAAATCTAAAAATTACCAATTTGCCTTTCTCCATTTGTTTTTTGCTTTTCTTTTTGTTATTTAATTATTTTCTAACTAAAAAAATAAAAAATAAAAGAAAATATTTCTCTCCCTTACTCTATCTCTCTCTCTCTCTCACTCTCTCTCTCTCTCTCTCTCTCTCTCTCTCTCTCTTTCTCTCTCCCATTCATATCCTACCAGTCAAAGGAGGTGGTTACCCCTCCTCCTTCATTTTCGAGCAAGAGAAATCCACTAGAGGTGGAGCCGTTTTCCGGCCACCAAGAAACACCCACCATCTGAGAACAACCCACTACTTCACCACTCACCACCACTGTAACCACCGGAAACCACCACTCCAACCATCTACTTCCTTCTATTCTGTCACACGAACACCAACCAAAAGCCCCCGCTACTGTTGCAGTCGGAGTTCTTCCTCAGCCACCGCAAGACACCACCAAACACCCATCCTTTCACCCTCCTATCTCCGACAAATCGACCCCAACTGTCTCCCTTTCAATTTTCAGTCGTGAAACGTTCCCATCATCTTCTTCTAGAACTTGTTCCTCACCTGAATCAAGGGAAATGGATGAAAAAAGAATAAACCTTGGAGGAATACTAAGCAGACACAAAAGGTGCAATCGATTGCAAAAATCATTCTAGGTTACACAACGATGAAAGCATCAAAGGTTCTAATGGTATCGACTTCGATGGCTTTACAACTTGATTCTCATGCTCATCGGTGCCATACGACACCGTGGATTGGAGATACCAAAACGGAGTTGAAACCCAAACTCAAACCAAAACCAAAAATACATCGACCGATGATCTTTTGTTACAAAACAAAGGTGACCCAACAAAGATTCACCGATTGAGACTTCGATAACTCAGAAAAACCCTAACAAATTAGGGGATAACCAAATCAAATGATGCCCACAAAGAAATGATCCCCTTTTTATGTCGATTTAATTGTAATGGATTCCTAAGGATGATTCAGAAGCGATTTTATTTTTGATCTGGTGGGAAAATGGAGGTTTGAGAGGATGAAAGCGATGGAAATGGAAGAGATGAAAACCAGTGTCCCTGAAGAATATGGAGAGAGAGAGAGAGAGAGAGAAGGGGGGGGGGAGGAGGGTATTTTCTTTTTTATTTGTATAATTAAAAAAACTGGAAAAAAAACAAAGGGTAAAATCGTCAATTTATAAAAAAAATCAATAAAAATGGACCAAAGCCGCAGCAAAATGAAAATTTTTTAACTATTGGTGTTAGTTCAAATTTGTTTGGCCCAAGGTAGCATTTTTGGACAACCCACAGGGACCATTCTTGCAATTTTGTCTTTATTATATAAACGACTCACTCTTCTCTTTGAGAAGAGATACACGAAAATTATTAGCTCTCATTTTCTTCAAACGAACACAAAATCCTTCTAGCAATTTGGCTTATGCTTTCTGTGCCTAGATTCGTAATTGTCATTTTGGATTATCCTAAGCTGAATTTCTTGCAACCTAGACATAGGGTAGAAATATCAGTTCGAAAAATGTTCACACGATCTAAGGATATCCAGATCTCCAACATAAACTCTATTTCTTCTTAAATAGAGAACTAGATGTTTGATATTTTTACTTGCAGTCTATTTAGCTTAAAATATGTATTTTGAAAACTAAAGTTTCAATCCATTTTCATGCAGCTGTTTGAGAAATTTGGTTTTGTGTAGGGTCGGTGCATGAAGTCAAAAGCAATTCTTCTCTTGACACCTCATATAACCTTGTACATTGGTTTCAAATCATCCTTTCTTAGGAAAATAGTTTGTTTATCAACAAAAAGAAATCAAAAACAAATATGAATTAAGATACTGTGAAAAAAGAAATAAGTTGAAGGCTTACCAAAATGTATCTTTTCTGTTGTAAGAATTCTTTCATTTTCATAAAAATGATAAAATTATATTTGTATATTGTTTTTATTTTTATTGATCCAACGGTTAAGATTGAGTTAACATAAACACAATAATTGTCATTTATATTTGAATTTATCCCTAATAATAATAATAATAATAATAATATTAATAATAATAATAATAGCCCATTAAAAAAATATAATTTCTTTAAAAAAAAGATCCAAACACCTTCATATTTAAGGTTTAAAATATATAAGCTTTGACAAAAATAAAGATTAGAATTTGAATGTCAAAGTAAACTTCGAACTTCGAAGAATACAAGTGAGAAGTCGACTCAAATTGATATTAAGCTTTTGGAGCATCCCTTTGTGTGAAGATATTTTGAGTACTTATTATTGGATTGATAGATATTTCTGAACTACCAAATTAATCTATATTTCTATCAAAAAATATCTTCATATATAGGAAATTGGGAAACTTTTGGAATGTTGCAGAAGTTGGTGCAGAAGTTGGTGTCATCGTTGAAATGCTCACACGTGGCAAAAGATCTATGAAGCATCTGTAGCCACGTAGAAACCAACATCCTCCGTCACCATTCCTGGTTCGACTAATTTCCGTTACAAAATAATTAGAAGATCATCGTATTTGTTTGAATTTGGTTATATTTTTATGTAGTTGGGTTAACAAATTATGTTATTATTTTTTTTAAAAGTTTATTTTTATCAACTAGTTATCTTAAAATACAAATTTGTGTTTAATTTTACATTGATTTATTATTTTTATTTTTAATAATTAATAATGAATGTAACATGATGTTAATAACCTTTGCAAAGACGAATTTATTCAAATAATAAAACTAACAAATTAACAAAATACAAATACATATATTAAAACGTTAACATTATAAAATATATTTAATATATTTCTTAAATATCTTAAAACATTATAAAATATAAATAATATTTTATGAATGATCATTTTTCCGTGATATTATTTATATTTTAGTTTCTACAAACATACAATTTATTGATTTGTATACACAAAATCAATATCTTATATGTCATTTATATCATTTTATATATTTTATATATTTTAGTTAGAGTATCATCAAATTTTATAAAATATTAATTTTATTAGCCAATAACCAATTTTTCAGCTAGTAGCGTTTTTCAATTAGTCCACCAACAAAGCCTAAACTTATGGCAAACATTCGTCTTACTGTTATAAGATTTAGGTGGTATTTTGGACAAAATTTTCTTATCTTTTTTACAAAGTAGCTATTTTAGTTTCTTACTTTGTGAATGAATGTTTTTTGCTCTAAAATACATGAATCCTTGTTTGGTTTATCCAGTAAATCAAACCAAACTGAGATTCAAACCGAAAAAAGTTTGATTTGGCTACGTTTTATTTAGAATCGTTACAGAACTATGTAAAGTGAATAGAATAAACATAAACCATATTAAACTGATCAATAAATCCTTTCGGAACACCAACTTAATGAACTAATATTTATTCGTCTTAGTAACATTCTAATAAAATACAAGTTTATCATTATAATTCAGAATATTTTAAAGTTATCAAATAATCGATTTTATATTTTAAAAATGTAACCAATTTATGTTTTCTATATGGTTACGTGCTATCATAGATTGAATAGGTCATTGTTTTCAAATTCTAAACTTTTGGCATAAATTTTAAATTTTATTATCATAGGTTGAATAGGTATTTTTTTTCAAATTCTAAACTTTTGGCATAAATTTAAAATTTTAGAAAAATTTGCAAAAATAGTCTTTGTGGTATGCATTTTGGGGTATTAGTCCAAACCTCGACTTTTTTAGATTGGTGGTCTTTTTGGACTAGTTCGTGTGTGAAAATGGTCCCTCCAAAAATTGAAATGACTAGATTGCCCTTGTGATATATTTTTGTATTTTTTCTATTTAATTTAATGTTTTGTTAATGATAAAATGGGGCCCGCACCCCATTCTCTCTCTCTCTCTCTCTCTCTCTCTCTCTCTCTCTCTCTCTCTCTCTCTCTCTATAGCACCAACATTTGACGATCGTTTTTCTCACCCGATCAAACCTTGAAACCACCTTCGTTCTGATGAAATTTAAAGTTGTAAACCAAATCAACAACCCAAATTTCGAACCCATTTCTCCTTTTTCACACCCAAAGCTTTGATGAGATAAACCAGCTCCAAACACCCTTCTTTTCATTCAATTTTGTTATTGCCATCAAGAAGAACAGGAGGCAGCTGCCTCTTCTAATTCGCATGTCTTCTCCTTCGGGTGATGGCCAATTCCAACGAGACTTCGAGGCAACAACCCCTTGTTGCTCCACCCTTTCCACATGTCGATCGTAGTCACTGAACTCCCCCCCCCCCCCCCCCACCCCCTTGAAGACTGTGGAGATCGCTTTTGCCTTTCCCCCTTTCATCCTCCATTTCTTCTTCGTTCCCTGGCCTAAACCCACCACTGAAGTGAGTGTTTCCCCGGAGCAAACGTCGGAGGCGGAAGCCGCCTTTTGATTCCTCACCTTCACACCTTCTTCCGAGACAGAAGAAGCACAGGAGCTACTTAAGTAGCCCTTGCTGCTTTCGTTACCACCCCAAGCCTTCCCTATCACTGCTTCGTTCGTGATTAGCCTTCTCGATCAGATGAAAACCAGGGACCGAAGTTCCCTTTTCCCGTCGCCGACAGCATAAACTGCCCCCATCAAGTATGCCTATTATTCTTCATACCAATCATCGAATTGCTAATAAGTGCTGAAATCTTGCAGATTGTTGTCGGTGATTCAATGTTATTTAGACATGAATCTTGCAGAGGTGGAGGAGAAGATAGATTGATGTATGCGACTGAAGAAGAGGAATGTTGTGGTATGTATTCTGGAATGTAGTGGTCGATTAAGAGAGAGAGAGAGAGAGAGAGGGGGGGGGGGGGAGATAGGGTCATTGAAGCTTTCTCCATTAATTGTATGTTTGTATTGATGAAGAAGATGAGAGACCACAATGTGTTTGTATATGTGAAATTGTCTGAGTTTTAATTTTGACAAGAAGTTGTGTGGGTTTTTTTTTAGGAAGAAGATGATTATACATGAGAGAGAGAGAGAGTGAAAGGTGAGCCCATTTTTATATTTAAGAATAATAATGATTTTAAAAAGCGAAAGAAAAATGAAAATTAAATTCATTATGGGTATAATAGTCTTTTAGTTTGGACAGTAACTAAAACTGCATGTAAATCAGCCTAAAATGACCACTAATCCAAAAAAATCGAAGTTTAGACTAAAACCCCAAAAAAATGAATACTATAGGAACTATTTTTGCAATTTTTGTCTAAATTTTACTATAAATTTGATCTGAGTTTAAAATTTTTTTTACGAATTCATCTCAAATTTAGTTTTTTTTGAAATATATTTTTCTACCAATAAACTTTTACCGCAAGACATGTCAAACACTAGGACTGTGCATGGGTCGGTTTTGGTCGGTTTTGGACCCAAACCCAACCCAACCCATAATTGGTCGGTTTCTGGTTTTCAGAACCCAATAGGATCGATTTCTGGTCGGTTCGGTTTCTCGGGTTTCAAGGTCAGTTTGGGCGGTTTTTCGGTTTCTTGGGTTCAACCCATACATTCACGGGTTCTAGGTTTAAACCCATGGGTTTTGGGTTTTACCTCATTTTCCATAAATGAAACAACAAGTTAAATATTTCAAAAAACACCAAATTTAAATTAAATACATCAAAAAACATGAGTCTTACAACAAATAGTCTATTACAAGTTACAACCAAAGCCCGAAATAGTCTATTACAACCAAAAAAACAATCAAGTATGGGTCGGTTTCTTGGGTTGGATGGGTCGGTTTCTTGGGGCGGATTGTCGGTTTTAAGTATGGGTCGGTTTCTCGGGTTGAATGGGTCGGTTTCTGAGTAAAACCGAAACCGAACCCGACTTTTTGGTTTTTAAAAAATTCAAACCCGAACCGTCGGTTTTGCTTCGGCTTCGGTTTTTTCGATTTCAGTGTCGTCGGTTTCTCGATTTCTTGGTTTGAGTTTGCTCATCCCTATCAAACACCCCTAACAAAATTACAATAGGTCCATAGTAAATGCCTTTAATCGAATTTAATGTGGTACCAAGCGTAGGCTGAATAATAAGTGTGTTGGCCCCTTATGCTTATGCCATACAAAAAAACACACAAAGTAGTTCAGTGACCCACAAATATCAATGAGAATTCTTTGGACATAGATGTAAAACAAAACAAGCATTAAATGCAACACCTTTGCCCATTGTGGCACAACGTCCGAGAGGAACCCACACACGTCCACGATAGCTACCGGCGAATTTGTCAACCTTTGACTTTTATCTTGTTTGTGTTAATGCAAAATGTATAATTCTAGTTGTCACATAATTTGCAAGTGTATATATTATATTATTCATACTAAAGGTCTTGAGGAGGTGGTGCAAAACTCATGAGATGTTGAAAGAGAAATGATAAGAGATAATAAGATGGTTCTTATAAAATCTTTGAAGTTTTAATTGGGATGGCCATAAGTTTCGGTGTTTAAAATATAATGTATAGTTTTGGCATGGCAATTAGAAAATTTTCCAAGCAAGCCACAAGTTGGAAATTGTGTTTACATTCTAACACTCTCCCTCAATCTGGATCATTAATCTTAGATGTTAATCATGTCCAATTTGTGACAAATAACATAGATCCACAAACAAGGTAAGGTAAAGTTCTGGTGACAGAATGACAAATGAATCGAATGGAACGGACAAACTAATGAAATTGTTGATTATCATTTCATTTTCATTTTTGGTTACTTTTTCGGACCGGAATAAATCATTCATCTATATATGTTTGGTAGGTATGAAAAAAAAAAAAAAAAAAAAAAAAACATTAATGGAAAGAGAATGAGCTTAGAGAGACCAACTTTTGAAGTGGTACACAAATAATGAAATTTTACATGAAAACGGTAAAATATTTAAGGCTTAAAAGTTATAACAACGAATATTGTGTTTGAGATGTCATTTATGCTTTAAATATTGGTTCTACATGTGCAAAATAAAGTAATGATATAATGTTGCAAATGACTGAAAAATATGACAAAGGAATGAGATGTTACATTTAATGAAATTTGGCTATTATTATTTCATCGTCATGTTTAGCTACTTCTTTGGAATGGAATGAATCATTGAATCATTGATCTATGTTTGAACTATGTTGGAGAAAGTAAAGAAATTGTTGATTATCATTTCATTATGTTTGGTTACTTTTTTTTTAGAATGAAATGAATTATTGATCTATATTGTTTGATTGTTTGATAGGTATGAAGAAAGCATGATGAAATAAAATTAACTTATACCGACAAAAATATCCTCATAACACAAATGCATATAATTTATAATTATTACAACATTATACACTCATATTATAACCTATATATACGAATATATGGAAACTTAGAAAAAAAAAAATTGAACATTATAATGTTAACCTGAATAAAATATATAAATATTATATATCAACGTCATACAATACTTCAAAAAAAAAAACTTATATCTTCTATTCTAATAAATAAAAATATTTTTTTGTCACATGTCACATTCTTATATTCATTTTGTTACATATCATTTTATGGTTATTTTAAATTAGTTTTCTTTTCTATTTAATTCAATTTCACATAATATTTATATATAATAATTAAAATAAATATAATAATAAATGTGTATCAATTTTATTAATTGACTTTCTTTTTATTTTCAAAAAATTTAAATTAAATTCCATAAGTTTGTTATGTTTATTTATTTAAATTATTTGTTTAAACTTAAAAAAGAAAAATAAAAAAAAAAACACCTTAAATTTAATAATTCAACAGTTTCTTATCTATTCTAATAAATAAAGATATTTTTTTTTACCATATATCACACTTTTATTCATTTTGCAATATGTAATTTTGTGGTTATTTTAAATTAATTTTTTTCCACATAACATTTTATGGTTATTTCTATTTAATTATATTCCATATAATATTTAAATATAATAATTATAATAAATGCATATCAATTTCATTAATTGATTTTCTTTTTAATTTCAAAAAATTTAAATTAAATCCTCATAAGTTTCTTATGTTTCTTTATTTAAATTATTGGTTTAAATTTAAAAGAGAAAAAAAAACATTTTAAATTTATTAATTCAATAGTTTTCTTATTTTCATATAAATTCAAACTTTTTAAATTTTAAAATTTCATATTTAAATTTTCTTTTAAAATAACTTTTGTAACATGAATGTTACATCTAGTTAAAAGATAAAACAAAAATATCAGTCATCCAAATAATCCGGTTTACAAGTTAAAAGATACAAAAGTAAGAAAATGCACAACGAAAATGAGAATTTTGAAAACACGTTTAGTTCGTTTATTTTTCTAAATTTTTCACAGAAAATGAAAATTTTCCGTTTTCTAAAAAGACAAAGAAGTTGGAAATTTTTGGAAAATCGACAATCATTGTTTTACATATTATTCTAATTTCAAAAATTTTCTAAAATATAAACACACACTCACTCCCACCACATCCACCTTAATTTACCATCGCCTTAACACCTCTAACCCACCACACCCCTATCAACCCATACTTACTCCCAAGCCCACCCTCACCCCTACAAACACACACACCAACCCCCCCCCCCCCCATACACCCTACACCCACAAACACACATACACACACACCACTACCACAATCACCAACCTACTATCACCACTACCACCGCTACCTCATCACCACCACCACTGCCGCCACCACCATCACATGTCATTACCGCTACCGCCTCCACCCCGCTGCCACCGCCGTCGCCATCATCGACACCATGGTGGCAAAGTTGTAAATATGATATATTAACCTTCAATCACAGATATCATTTCTTCTGGGTCTTTTATCTGTTCTTCACCAACACCATCTGTTATTCATTCATCTCAATTGTTCCTCTGTGTTCTTCATTAACATCATACGTTCTACTACTTATTCGCTATCAAAGTCACCTGTTCTTCATAAAAAAGACATCGACACTTCATAAAAACATCAAATCTTCATCAAAATCTTCGTTTATTCATCAAAATGTTGTGATTCGTCACTAAAAACATTTATTCGTACTATTAAGTGTAAATCATAATTCAATCTTGTCCAGTTTCGTTGACATGAAGCAAAATCGTTAAAAATAATACATATTTATCGATGTCACGTCATTTAGCGATCACCAATCATCGAAACTTCATCAAAGGAACCTTCACCAATATCAAACAACAGATAGCAATCGAAAGTTCATCAACATAACCATATATTTGAAGAATTTTTTTAAAATCGTTTTTCAGGTTTGAAAAACTTCATTTTTGATACATTTTTTTCACAATTTTTGATATAAACCTATTTATTATTAATCGATGTTGATAGGATTTGATTTGTTTTGTAATTATTGGCTTCAATTGTGAATTTCTTACCATAGTTATATAAGTTAACTTATTTGCACTCCAACTATTCGATGAAATGCATAAACTAAATATATCACATAATATTCACAAGTGAATATGCATTTACACGAGAATCAATTTATATCTTTTAAAAACACAGAGCGAGTATGTAATTCACATGTGAATACATGTAATATTCACAAATAAATACAGATAATATTCATAAATGAATCCAGATAATAACTCATTTTGAGGTTCTAAGCGAGTTTGTAATTCATATGTGAATAAC